AATCTGAAATGATCCAAAATTATTCTAGTGAAACTGTATGAAAAATGGCCGCCCATTCAAGTCAATGGGCCGAGCTCAGTGGCACATGATTCCAGATTTGCCTTTAGCCCGGTGAGGTTCTTCCGGTGGCTGTGGGCCGACCGAGCATGCGCAGTAGTGTTCTTTTCTCCTGCGAGCACACGCCAATGCACGCAGGCTTGTGTATCACGTGATCGCTTTGACCAATCAGAGCGAGAGGAGCTAGAGCAGAGCCGGAGCGAATGATTATAAAGTGTTTTTTTAAGACAACTGAAGGATTTTGAACTGAGAAAAAGTTTATGATCTAAAAATAGGTTAAAAATCGCCAACAAATCCGACATTTTTGAAAGTTGTAGGTGCCCTGTCAGCTGAACATGAGCAGTTTGTAATTGTCGCGCTCTTTGAGAAAAATCGTGTCTCAGCCCAGGGGATTTTTTCCGCTGAAGTTCCAGTGAGTGTAACTACGCCAACTGGAGGCAACTACAAGCATCGACATCCAATCCAGTTATTTTAATAGATCCATGGTTGTTACCTCCTCAAAAACATACCTGGAGTTGTGTTTTGCTTCATTTACCCAGTTGTCTGTCTGCTCCACCTTGTGATGTCATATTGTGGTAGTTTTCAAGTTAACATCTGACTTTTAACTTTTGTTTAGTAGAGATAGGCAAGTCCAAAGCTGAAATGATCCAAAATTATTAAACTGTATGGACTAAACATCCAGTGGGGCACTTCCTTTACTACAACATGACATCACAAGGTGGAACTACAGATTGTTTTTGTTTGAGAAAAGAACTCAACCTAAATATGCAGGATTTTTGTGTTTAAACGTGTGAATGAAACAAAACACAACTCCGGTTATGTTCTTGATAAGGAAACAACATTATAACATAGATGAGAAAATAAAAGCGTAATATGGACCCTTTAATAATTAGCCTTTGAAAAGCATGAACAAAGACTTAATTAACAATGAGAAAATCACCTACTAAGAACGATTCAGGCTTAGAAAGTACTTCATTAAGGGGTTAGGACAAACTTTTTGACTTGTAGGCGACAAAGGGTTCTAAAATTTGAACGAAAGGGCCGGACCAGGAGCAGATGGATGGAGTTTTTTGCTAATCCACTTCATAAGAGAAAAAAAAAATAACATGGGATATGTAGAAAATATATCCCATGTTATTGAAATATTCCATAATTGAAAAGTATTACAACAAAATATCTGTCTTTCATGTCCCACGGTATTTGCTATTTATAGAAATTACCTTTAAAACACTGAAAATTATTATTATTGTTCAAGATTAAAAAGATTAAAGGGTCGCAGTTTGCCCACCTCTGCGTTAGGATTAGGAGTTAGTGTTAGGGTATTAATTGAATAGTTATGTTAAGTTGTTAGTTATATTCCACAGTAGGGCATTTAATTTATCTATCAGCAGCTGATGCCACCCAGCCAAGCCCCATTTGCTGCGATGCAAAAAGAACAGAAAATAATTGGGAGGGGAGGGATGAAGAAGAGAGACTGCACTGATTTTGACATTTAGAACACTTTTAACTTTTAATTATACTGTTTGAGGGTTCTGATAACCTAGATAACCTGGAACCTGATAACCTTTTTTTTGTTTGTTTTTTGTATTTATACTGAAATAACAAAAATATTCCGATCCTGCTGTGAATGGCTTGAGCAGAGATTGACTGAGAGGCAAAAGTAGTAGGTTGTGATTGGCTTGATAGTAAAAATGTTTTCTTCCTGTTTGAAGTCAAAATTTACCAAGCTAGTCAACAGATGATTTCAGCAAGGAATGGTTGAAAATGTGTTTTAGATGAAGAAAATGTTACTCTGAAATTTGCTGTTTTTATTGATTAGAATACATAAATAATTACTGCTGTTGTGATAGTTGTGGTGTAATATTGAAACTCAAACTATTGTGTTTGTCTCCATGGAGACGATATGGATTTACCTGGAATGTTCTGCTTTGTGGCACTCAGACATTTACAAGCAGTGTTGGGAGTAACATGTTCTAAAAGTAACAAATGACTGTAATGCATTACTTTTTGCTGTAACACAGTAATGTTACGGCATTACAGGGGGAAAAAACTGTAATATTTTACTCAGTACAAATGTCAGTAATGTGTGTTATAATGCTTTTTTAACCTGGAGTGAAGTGGTGGGTTTTTTGTTTTTCTTTATACAAATTTGCTAAAATCACTGTGATATCAGCAGCGGTTAAACATCATCGTTATGGTTCCTAATGCTGGGACGGGCCTGGAGGTGAGCCCACGTAGACGTCGGTTAACCACCCTGGTTTAGTCCTGGTTTAGTCCTTTTATAGACTTGGTTTAGTCCTGGTTTAGTTTTGGTTTAGTCATGGTTTAGTCCTAGTTTAGTCCAGGTTCAGCTCTGATTTAGTTCTGGTTTAAACCTGGTTTAGTCCTGGTCCAGTCCTCCTGGTCCAGTCCTCCTGGTCCAGTCCTCCTGGTCCAGTCCTCCTGGTTCAGTCCTGGTCCAGTCCTCCTGGTTCAGTCCTGGTTCAGTCCTGCTTCAGTCCATATAGAGCGGACAGTGAAGAGTTGTGTGTTTGAAGTAACTTGCCCAAGAGTGTTTACAAAATAGTTAAGTTAATGCAGTACTGTGGAACATTCCAGGCAGCTCTGGATAGAGACAAGCAGGTGATGGACCCCCCATCAGAAAGTGACATAGTACAAGTTTAAACAAAGGGATCATTATGCATATTTGTTATTTCAGTTATTGTGGCATATATTAAGTAGAGATGTACAATGCCAATACTGAAATATTTGCTGGATTGGATATCGGTTTTAAAATATTGGTTCAGCCGACATCCTGGTTGGACACATAAACTGATGTAATACAACTGTTTACTAGTCATGGTTTGCCCAAAAAGTTTCAGCGTGTTTGAACTTTTATGTATACAAAGTTGTTCTGTACTTGTGGGATAAGTAACAGTTACATAACACTTCTGGATGAGTTTTGGCTTTCGTTTGAAGGAAATAAATACACCATGGACTAAATTATGGACTAATTTGAGTACAGTTTTTTTTTTAAACTATGGGCTGAATAATGTTTGTGACTGAAATAAAGAATAATAAATAAAATGCTGTTTTCAGTCGCTGTACTGGTATCGGTTAAGGTATTAGGTACCAGCATGGGATAATCAGACATCGATATTTACCCGGGACAGTACCAGTTTTGAGCCCTCTGTCCACTGCCCCAGCAGATTTATCCATAACCATTGATTTGTCCCAGTTTCATACAAGAAATGTCCATATTTTTGACCAATCTGATACCAGCCAACAGTAAAAAGAGGCATACACTGCCATTTGTTTAGGTAAAATACAGAAAACCTGCTTAAAAATGATCAAAACACAAAGAAAATGTGACTATACTGACTCACAATAGTGCCAAGTGCATCACAATTTTCCTTAATTATGCACTTTTTTTCACAGTTTTATCCTTACCAACTATCACAAACCAGGGATGTCCCAGTTTTTTTTAATTTTGAAAACCTGGTCACCCTTTACTAGCAGATACTTGAAGTTACAGAGTCGGTATCGGAAGCTGGATCGGTGCATCCCTAACTTTAACTGGGTTCCTAGTTTTCGAGCTATAACTTGGCAAATTAAACTAGTTTGTATACAGAGTCATTTACACCTTGAGTCATTATTTGTTGTTATTGTTTCTTGTGCTTGGTTTGAATTAACAGGCTGAATAGTGAATGCGCTGGAGGCTTTCTTTGCTCTTATAAACCATGTGAGCGGTGCGATGCCCGTCTGCTCCTCAGTGCGTTGCTCATTGCTTGTGTCATCGCTTGATTCCATTTGCTTCGTCCTCCACGATTGTTTAAAGCGAGCTCTGACGGCTAAGCTTCCACTGTGAGACATTAGCGCTAATACGTGCATGCTCCTTCATCTAAAGTGGCTGAGACTGACTGCTGCTTCACCACACCGCCGCTACACGGTCACATGTTAGGCTTTAGTTATATAGTTTAAATACTTCTGGTATTTTATGATTTTATTAAAATTTCAAAAAAATATAAAAAATCCAGGAATGTAAACATTGATTTTATTTATTTATTTATTTATTTATTGCTTGTAACTTGCCAATAAAATAAGTTCTTTATTATTATGATGATGATGATGATGATGATGATGATTATTATTATTATTATTATTATTATTATTATTATTATATATTTTTTTATTATTTTTTTTATTATTATTATTTCACTTTATTAAATTTTTTTATGTGTGATAGCATTTGTAGAAAATTACCTATTTAGATGTTTTTTTTTCCTTGAAATTTGTGCGATTTTTTTCTTTTCTTTTTTCTTTTTTTTTTTTTTTTTCCCATTGGCAAATTTCTAAACCCGGCCAACTCAAATCTAGATACTTAAAGACGCACTTTGTAACTTTTCTAGTGGGGGTGTTTGTTTCCGTGGAGATGCCTTGAACATTCCAGATGATTGTTGCTCTTCTTACTGTGAGCATCTCCACAGATCTGACTTGTAACTTGGCCCGGTCGCTTCTCTTGGTCGTGCCCATGGAATTAGATGTGTTTAATGCTTTACTGCGGAACATTCTCTAAAATCTCCATGGAGACAACCAAGAGGAAAGACTCTGGTTGGCTTGTATTCGTGGAATGTTGTCTCTTAAAGCTATAAGTATATTTAGCCGGCCTGTCCGCAAAAAATTCTGGGCCCCTTAGACCTTGGAGCCCCCGTCAACAGACCTCTTTGCCCCCCTTCCCATGAACACCCCTGGATATGCTGTATAGAATGACATACGCTCCACTAGAAAAGCTGTGAATCTTATAACATATTTAGTTTATTTAAGCTTGTGAGTTGTTTTGTAAGAACTCAGAACTTCAGCCTGATATGTGACCTCAAATCTGCCTTTCGCTCACTCGCCCTCCCCCCTCCACTTTGACCATCCGCCCTGACCAGTCGTGCTGACCTTCTAGAGCCCCATATCAGTCCCTCCTCTGTTTTTCTCTTTCTTAGTTCCCCCCAACCTGACTGTCCCGCGGGGCAAGTCCCCCCTAGTGGCGCGTGAGGGAGATACGGTGGAACTGGAGTGCCTAGTTTCAGGGAAGCCCAAGCCCATCCTGCTGTGGTCCCGCTCGGACAAGGAAGCCCCGATGCCGGACGGGAACATGCAGATGGAGACGTACGACGGCGTGCTGCGGATCGTGAACGTGACCAGGGAGATGACCGGATCGTACCGCTGCCAGACCTCGCAGTACAACGGATTCAACGTGAAACCCAGAGAGGCCGAAGTGGAGCTCATCGTCCAATGTGAGTACCAAGAAAAAAAGGACTTGTATACCAGAATTTGATTTAATTTCTTTTAATTTAGAAGGTGGTTCAAGATGATAGGATTTAAATGAAAATATATGTCAGTGGGCTAGAATATTTGTTGATTTATTACACCAAATGGATCAGAAAATAGTGTAATATGGGCCTTTTAAATTTAGAATCTTTATGTAACATTTTCTGACAACTAAGTACCAGAATCCAGATCGAAATTCTGAATCCAAGTCCTTTTGTGTGCTTCTTTTTACGCTGGTGTGAATAGTTGAGAATCCTCTGTGTTTCTAAGTTTCTAGGTTTTGTCTTTGGAAGAGAAAACATTTTATATTTCAGAAACTGGGGCATGCAGGTACGAAGACTCCGCTCCCTGAAATGTTCTCTGTGTTTGATTTGCATTTTGCAGTGTCCTGGTTTCTGACTTCTGCAGGAAAAGTATTGCCTGACCAACTACACACACACACTTTCTCATGATTAACTCATGGACAGTCTGCTGCTGTTTGAATTAAACTACATTTTAAAGGCAGGACTAACATGAGTAAACCGATCAGACAAAAGATAATATATACAGGTTTACACACAATACGGTTTTAAATGTCTTGTCTTGCACAAAATGTACTCTTGTGAGCTTTAAGACATGTTTGAATGTTGTTACCTCCTCAAAAACAGACCTTGAGTTGTGTTTTCATTCCCACATGTTTGAGTAATCCTTTATTATCTGTCTATCTGTATCTCCAAAGCTCAAAATGCTCTGTTCCACCTTGTGATGTCATGAAGCAGTAGTTTTCATGTTAACAGCTACATTGTACCTTTATTTCAGTAGAGATTGGTAATTCCAGGGTTGAAATCATCCAAATAATTCTAGTGTAAGTTTACAAAAACAGTGGAGGACTTCCTGTATTACCACATGACATCACAAGGTGGAACAGAGTGTTTTCAGTCTGACAGTGACAAGTTGTTTTAACATTTAAAGGCTAAGCTTGACTATCTGGAATTAACATTGTAGAAATCAACAACGTCTTTCTGACTAGATGTAATTTCATTTCAAGGTAACGTCATTTTTCCTGGGAAGAATATTGATTTGGATACCTGAAGTAACAATTACAGCTAAGAAAAATGTTGTTGCAGATATCTGAAATTATCTTTTTAACTAGGAAGAACTGACTTAGAGATATCTGCAACACATATCCAGCTTAATGGGCTCTTACACCTTGACTATTCAGCCAGTTTATGCCGACGTATGAAAACTTTGGCAAATTCGCTGGCATACGTCGGATAAGTTATAGGTAAGTTTTGTGTAAGTTATGAGCATGCTGAAGCACGCTGGCATATGGCGACATATGGCGAGGTCGTATAAACCAGGTCGTATGTCAGCATATGTTTAGACGTCCTGCATACGTGGGCCATAAGTTATGCGATCGTTGGCACACGTTCACACACATGAATTGTAACGTGTACTTGTACTCATAAGTCCCAATACTTTGAGATCATGTCTAGCATACCCAGAACTTGTGAATAACATGCTTTGAACATATGTGTAACTTCTACTGAACTTACCTCCAAAACATATTGACGTATGCACACGTATTTGACATGTTCCGAAGACCAGAGAACTTTAGTGACGTGTTTCTAACTTTGAGCTACAGTATAATGACGTATGTAGGGAGTATTGGGCATGTAGGGAAATTGGTATATAAAAATGGGGAAACTGTCAGTATTCCTCCAGACTTCATGGTGAGCAAACCCTGTGGTACCACCCACTACACCGATCATCCGAGAGATGGAGAATCTGGCAAGGCTGAGACGAGAATACATACTAGCTGTTCTCCAACATCAGCATGATCTCATCGATTTGTCACTGTACCAGTTGTGTGCCAACAGAGCCAGGAGAAGAAGAGATCAACTGCAGAGAAGGAACTGTGTGAGACCTATGGATCTATTAAAATATTAAACTGGGTGAGACCATGGATCAGGAGGCGTCGGCACGTGAGTGTCGGCGATACGCTGCCGTGCGCGATGCATAAATTAGATTGTTGTTGGGCATAAGTTGTGGATGCTGGCAACACGCTAAGCATTAGTTGGTATAAGTTACATATAAGTTATCAAAACGTTCTAGATAAGTTACTATGCATACGTCCAACTCATTACGAATACTCGATGACTACATTTACACTGAAACAAATCCGCATATCACCATATCACTGGACCGGAAATGATTTGCGTCCAGACACATCGTTCCTCAAGCCTTTTCTATCCACACAGCTTTGACCATATTTGTTTACATTTTACAAAAACAAAACTTTAAAACTTAAAACACGCATGGCTAATTTGCATAAACTAAGCGCTCAAATAAGAGTTTGCTATTATGCGTCGATGTGGTTCAGCTTCTGTCAGACTAAAGGACATGACTCAGTAGATTATCAGTGTTCTTTCTGTGACAGAGGGGTGTTCTGCTGATGGTGAGTCTGTTCTGTGCTTCTATCGCGTTGGAGATGGGTCATGTTAAACTTTTCAGAGATTATACGTCTGCAGCCTCTTAGCGTTTTGGGGGTGAATTACTTCGCGGTGCATAAACCTTCATCGGCCTATCAGCATGTCTTCATATTCAGGCGTCCACACAGTGCTGGATCAGATCTGTACTCAAAAGAATTCTTGGGAGCTGGCGGCACTGCATCGTTCCGTCTCTGGTGCCTTTTTCAATGGGATTAGTGTGGACGAACACTGCATCCGCAACGAAAACGACTCAAATACCTACTAGTGTGGACGGAGCCTATGTGTACGCCCAAAATTGAAAATAAAAAAAACATCGATAGATTCAAAATATGCCAGTGTTTTAGGGAAATTCTGCTGCTTCAACATACACTGGCTAAATCGTCAAGGTGTGACAGGGCCATTAGCATTTAAATATTAAAAAGGCTTGCTGTAGTCTGACAGAGAGAAGAACTCAGCCTAAATATGCAGGATTTATGTGTTAAAACGTGTGAATGAAACAAAACACAACTTTGAGACTTTAAAACAAAGATCAGAAAATAGTGTAATATAAGCTCTTTAAATATGTTATGCAAGTAAGAGTAAAAGTACGCATCCTGAAAAGTACTAAAGAACCACCCACTTGAGTAAATAATCTTCTTTATAAACCCAAATATCAAACAGTATCCAAACTACTCCAGTGGGTCGATGTGTGAAGCTCCGTGTCAGATATCTGTGATTTATTCCCATTGTATTCAGTGTAATTACTCGGCTTTGGTCCGGAGCGACTAAAACTGAACTTTCTACATCCCCCCTCTCTCTCCGCCCATGCAATTTCCTCCTGAAGGCTGTGAAATGAATCCTGTCCCCGGCTCCTGAGTCAGGTCTGAGCGCCGGCCATCTTGACTCCTCCTCTCTGTCCACAGGGAGGACTTTATCGACTGAGAGAGGCCATTATTCACACGGCTCAGACTCCCATGGTCACAGCATTAAAGGGACATTATGGGATTTTACAGGGTTTTAACTCGCACTTGAACACCTTTGCTTTGGTATTTGACTTTTGTATTGGCTTAATTGGTGTTATAGATGTTACAAAAGGTTGCGTTCACGTGACGTTATTCTCCGTAGTTTAAAGGAGCTGGAGGACAGGTCAGACTTTGCTGTTTAAAGGGACAATATTACGTTCTTTTCTGATCTATGTTGTAATGTTTTTTTTCTTCAGGAAGTGCTCCATTGTGTTTTTAAACCGCATACACCTTCAGTAGAATCATTTGGATAATTCTGGCCGATCTCTGCTAAAACGAAATGTAAAAGGTAGATTATAACTCAAGGCGGAACAGAACATTTTGAGCTTTGGAGATGCAGACAGACTAATAATAAAGGATTAAGCAAATAAAACATGAATGAAACAAAACACAACTCCAGGTCTGTTTTTGAGGAGGTAACATCTATCTATCAATGCAAGAAGCTTCTGTGTGTGTCTCAGAGTCCTGCACGGGTCCAGTTTTGGAGACCCGCACCCGCCCGCACACGCGCAGTTTGGCACCACACCCACCCGTTAACCTGTGATAAATCGTGGTCAGGTCCAGGCCCAATAGTCCAGGACTAAACCAGGACTGAACCTACGCTGTGTCATTAATGGATTATAAATGTATACATGCCGCAAAACACAGAGCCGATCACCAGGACTGGACCAGGACTGAACCAGAACTGAACCAGGTCTAAACCAGGACTAAACCAGAAGTGCAACCACTGAACCGATCACCTCCGCTGATGGTTTTATGTAATAAATACACTTATGGCACTATCAACCTGGTCTCTCATCGTTCCAGGAAAAGACCGGGAAATGTCACTTGTTTCCAGGGCAACTGATGTACTGGACGCACGTCAAGTATTTTTCTCCCGTTTTTCGTTCATGTGATCCACCCGCCCACTTACCCACCTGTAAAATTCCAGAACGTTAAAACCCGCTTGTTTCAGCAACTATTTGCAGGTACCCGACCCGGTGCAGGACTGTGCTTTGTCTCCTCCTGTTGGTTTGTTGGTTTGTTTGTCTGTTCCACGCATAACTCTCGAACCACACATCCGACTGATCTCTAATTTGGAGAGTGTCATCCTAATGGTATGGGTGTTTGCAGTGCTAAGTTTCATGTTGTTAGGTCAAAAAATGACAAAGATCTGGTCATTCTAATGTCTAAAAACTCACAATATTACACTTTGCATGATACAGGAACTTTAACTGTCAGATTGCAGATTTGTTGACTTGGTTTATGGTTAATTTCTCCTTTCTAAATGAAACAAAACATTTTACATCTTCTCTGTCAGTATAAATAAGCAAATATCTTAAGAAAGTGGTACTATTTTTCAACACCAAAGTCTAAAGCTATTAAAACACCATATGTACCGTATCTTCCGGGCTATTGGACGCACTCTTAGGCCTCCAACCCCATCAAAAAACGACTGCGCGCCCCGCAATCCAGAGTGCCCTATACACGAATCCACTCAGGTGTCCCAGCACG